CATTTTTACATATATAGATATTATTATGTAGTATTAATTGTAGTATGTATGGGTGTTGTATGTATAGTATTCGACTTAAAAAATACATTTCGATTTCTGAGCCAGTATGACAACGCTTAACAGGCGGCCTCTGACCGACTTTCGCATCGCAAAAATAATTTGACGGTGTGAGTTTTGCAAGACCGACAATAAATATGACCGAGGTTTTATGATACACCACGTTCGTAGTCCAAACTAAGCAGATATTTTTAGTCAAAGTGAAGCTAAATGAAAAAAAAAAATGATTTTATTGTAAAAAAGCGTGGGGTGCTTCTCAGGATATCTGTTCATAAAATATTTATAACTACTGATACCTTGCACCACACGCTTTTTTTACAATAAAATCATTTTTTTTACACTATTTTTAATTCAAATTTATTAAAATTTATTTTCTATTTTTCAGTTGGATTTTCTATAATTTTTTTTTTAAATATTGTATTGTCATCGGTCCTTACTAAGTATACAAAATTTCGAGTAAATCCGACGTTTTGAAGGGGGTCAAAATCATGTTCAAAGATTCCGTTACAAACATACATACGTCTTAAGCTAAAATAAAAGTGTATTAAAATCAGCCCAAACATTTTTTTTAGGATCTCGCTGGAGAAATCAATCTGATACCATGTGAGATTGACTAAATACAGTCGTTGATGCAAGACTTTGTTCCTTCGACTATAGAGTCGGCGACTATGTAAATGAAGAAATCGCGTGAACTTGAAATTGTGCTCCAAACCACACCAGTGCGTTTAGTGTGAGTTTTTTAACGTTCTCTATAGCGTAAAAGTTAACTCAAATATGTATGGAGTTGAAACGTTTGCATACGTTTGCCGCTAGGAGCGCTGTTCCAACTACATATAAATTTGAGTTAACTTTTACACTATCGAGAACGTTAAAAAACTCGCACTAAACACACTGAGCGGGTCTCTCGCAAAGCTCAGCAACACAACGGATTCTTCTAGTAATCCTTCTGAAGCTGATTCCTTGAATTGATATTGAAAAGAGCTAGAGTAGAGTTAGAATAGAGATAGAATAGAGTAGAGTTAGTAGAGCTAGAATAGAGTTTCTAAGCTATTCGACAAATGAGATTAATAAATCTGCAGATATAAATATATTTTAAAAAAAGCATCTGTTATTAATAAAAAAATTTCAGCAAAGATGTCAGATTTTAATTGTTTGATATACGTTCAAAAAAAAAAACATAAAAATACGTACAGAAAGTACAGTGTAACACAGTAATAAGTTATTCACAATTATATTGCGACCCGTGAGTTGGCGTTCACTGCATCGTAGTGATTTTAGCGACCCGCGCTTGGCATTACCTGCATTGTAACTTCTTTTGTCATCGCTTTTATATAAGCGCGTGCTACCGTTGTAACCGGTCTCCCTGTGTAATAAGGTGACACTCTACAAAACTTGCATACGCCCCGTCATGACCTATGCAAGTGTAGTGTTCGCTCACGCGGCCCGCACCAACTTGAAACCCCTTCAAGTCATTCAATCCCGTTTTTGCAGGATAGCCGTCGGAGCACTATGGTTCCTAAGGAACGTGGATCTCCATGATGACCTGGAACTTGACTCAGTCACAGTCGACATCATTAAGCCACTTTGAAAAGGCGGCACGACATGGTAAACAGTCGACTTCGCCCTAAACACGTCATCATTACGGATCCTCCCGATCCACTAACGGTACTTTTAGGTAACTCAAGCACCGGTCACCGTCCTAGTCGAACCCGTCACTTGCGACGAAGGGCTCGACGAGTAAATTAACCCATATACACAGCCCACCGATTTTCTCGCCGGTTCTTCTCAGTGGGTTGCGATTCCGATCAGGTGGTAAATTCTGCGAAGCACTGTTCTTGCTAGGGCCAGTGTTAGCAACACTCCTGGTTTGAGCCCCGTTAGCTCACCTACTAGCTCGGTGAATCTAAAATAACCCCTGGAGGTTACTAGAATAGTAGATAAAAAAAGTAACCGCTCATTCTGAAGCCGCGCTAAATAGTTGCAGTGAAGGTCAAGTCAACATTTAAATAATTAGCTATACCTGAATGTTAGTCATTCAGTTAATTATTAGTGCCCGATTTATGTTATCCGGTTCCAATACTCTCGTCAATCGCGACTTTGTTTTTTCGTTGGAATACACTCCGTAGATTCTCCAGTAACGTCCCGGAAACAGACTCTGTACTTATGATACCTGGTGGTAAGACCTCTTGTGAGTCCGCACGGGTAGATACCACCACCCCACCTATTTCTGTCGTAAAGCAGTAATTCGTTTCGGTTTGAAGGGTGGGGTAGTCGTTGTAACTATACTGAGACCTGAGAACTTATATCTCAACGTGGGTGGCGCATTTACGTTGTAGATGTCTATGGGCTCCAGTAACCCCTTAACACAAGGTGGGCTGTGAGCTCGTCCACTCATCTAAGCAATAAATAAATAAACTATTATTTGTCAACTTGTGCCAAGGAGCTGGAATATCCTCGTTGGATCCCAGTTCCCCTGTGCTTCAGAATCACCATTGTCTACGGATACGTATAAGTAATTAAAATCGTAACATTTCACTATCACCATCATATGTCTCAATAATTAATACCCTTAATAATTTATGATTGTAATCTACTGTTTTATTTAATATAATATCTAGTTAATTTATATAAGCATTAATTATTATTTTTTGTATGTGTATGCGCTTTAGATAAGTATATGTTTGTACGACTGCACTTCTGTTTCATTTCTATAGCGCCCTGGGAATCTTTTTTATTAAAAGTCTCATACTAACCACAGTGGCTACCGGTTCGTATGACGCTTACCGTTACAACAGTAAAATAAAGAAAGTTCATAAACTGTGGATATCCTGCTGTACATTGGACTTGAAGTGATTGGAAACGGAGATAATTTCAACATTTGACCAATTGCTTGTATGACAGGATAATTTTTGAACGTCCATCCATATCGGTCCGACGGGCTCCCTTTTAGCTAATAAGGCCTTGATGACTTACAAATGCGGTTATAGGTAAATTATCGCACTTACATCAGATCTTTTCTTGAGCATTTTCGAAGCAATGAGAGCTGGAAGAATCTAGTGGGTTCGATCACCTGGAAACCGTAACTTGTTCTTTTTTTTTCCTACGTAAGCTGATGTGTGATTACAAAAAGGTGCCAATCTACTTTTCTTTAAGTAAATTGGAAGGCCGCTGTAATTTTTTTTTCCTACCTAAACTCATAGACTTGAGAGGCTATTTCAGCGTAACCTTAACTAGTAGGTAAGCTCACGTCTCTAACACTGGCCCTAGCAAGCGCAGTGCTTCGCAGAACTTGTTCAGAGGGGCGAATGGAAAAGAGGGAGTGTTCATTGGGATGCACCTAACCTCTGAGCTTTGGCGACGTATTCAAGTTTTTTTATTTTTTTTTTATTGCTTAGATGAGTGGACGAGCTCACTGCCCGCCTGGTGTTAAGTGGTTACTGAAGCCCATAGACATCTACAACGTAAATGCGTTACAACTGCTGCCCCGCCCTTCAAACCGAAACGCATTACTGCTTCACGGCTGAAATAGGCAAGGGAGGTGGTATCTATCCGTGCGGACTCACAAGAGGTCCTACCACCAGTAATAACGCAAATTATAATTTTGCGGGTTTCATTTTTATTACACGATGTTATTCCTTCACCGTGGAAGTCAATCGTGAACATTTGTTAATTACTAATGTGTCAGTGTGTTATCAGTTATTCTAAGATCATAGTTGCATTCGTTAAGTGAAATTTGTTTGTTTCAAAGAAACACAATAATCTATACATATAAATAAAATTGGAGTGTCTGTTTGTAATATTGAAATAACCGCTTTTTACTACATGCGTATAAAAATATATATACGGTACATACACCAAAATAACATTTTTTACAATTTTTGTCTGTCTGTCTGTTCCGGCTAATCTCTGGAACGGCTAGACCGATTTTAGCGGGACTTTCACTGATAGGTAGCTGATAATATAAGGAGTAACTTAGGCTACTCTTTTTAGACTAGCTTTGCCCCACGGCGTCACCCGTGGTACGACAATAACCGCGGGTAACATCGCGGGACTCAGCTATCAATAATAAAATTTAATGTTTCCGAACCGAAGCGAGGGCGGGTCGCTAGTAAATACATAAATAATGTATTTTTTAAAGACTTGTAACACTTTGTTCACAACAAGATCATCATGAATATGAATAACATTCGTATAGCAACAGCAAAACAATTTATCACGTTATACAGAACGATTTTGTTTAACATAAGGCGATAAAATGGCGATACGATAAAAAAACACATTGACCCAGTTAAACGTAATACATTTTAAGAGAAACGTGTTATTTAATCTTAAACAATTTTTTTTAGATAGCAATATAGTCCATCGAAGGATGATGACTCAATTCAATGGCAAGTTGTCAGCGCTCGACAGCTCGTAATGCCCAAAGGTCTTACTACCGCTTAGCTCGTACTCTCAAATCGGATACGGTAGTAACTATGCCCCCCCTCGTAGGCCCCTCAGGCCGACTCGCGGCGTTCGATGATGACGAAAAAGCAGAGCTGCTGGCCGATACATTGCAAACCCAGTGCACGCCCAGCACTCAATCCGTGGACCCTGTTCATGTAGANTTGAATATAATCGTCTCCTTCAAAGAATACGGTTCAAAACCTGCATTAAATAAAGGTTAATAGTTAACCTGTTATTTATCTAAGATGTCGTTCCGAAGAGTTTTGTGACTGCCAATGGAATACAAAGTCAATAATTCGTTTTTCTGATTTACCAATCATTGTCCAAAAGTCAGATTGCCGCCTTTGATAATAGTCGACTCATTTAACAGAATACGATATCTAAATACATTAGACAAGTAATACCCGGTCAAATAGAAAATACTAAGATAAATTAAAGAAAAACAGGGTTTGAAGGTTGATGCTTAACATTGTTAATTTTGGGGTTTGAAACGCGATTGTTGTTTGGGCGTAGGAAAACCATCTGTTTGATAATGAGTCATCAACTCCCAGTATCTTGTATTCCAAACACAGGCAAGATGTCGAAAGCTAAAAAAGTTATTGAAGAAGCCAAAGAAATAAATAATCCGGAAATCGATTTAGTAGACAAAGGAATATCTAGTCTCGAAGAGATTCCAGGCTTATGTGAGTGTCAAATAAAACCTGTTTTGTTTCTTTTTTTTGTACTAAATATTTTTAGTTCATTTCAATTTTTACATCTATGTTTCAATAAAAAGCTTAGATCGAAACCTAAGCTTAATGTATACTTTCGAATTTAAATTTATTCTACAGTTAGCTAATTTTAAAAACTAATAAATAACTGAAGTATTCTTACAATAAGTGTATTCGCCTACATAACCGTTGCAACTCATGTATAATAAATATTTTGAAGACAACAAACATGAAATATTATTTTAAACCTCATTTGGATGTAAATTCTCCAATGTTAACATTATATTAAACATAATAATATGTAATATAAGGTAAAAAATTGAAGTACTAATTAAAATATGACATCACTGCAGACCTATAATTCAAAATGAAACTCTTACGCCTTAAGACGGAACAGGATCAAACTTACGCTTAACATAAGCCATGAAATATTGAAAAATGTTTGCAAGTTCCACACTACATTAGAACCATCAGTCTACTCAGTTATGGGTTTCAAGAAACTATGTGATTGAATGTACTGATGAAGAAATAGAAATAAAAGAATAACATTGCAGTGCTTTATCTGAAGGAAACAAACATCTTAGTGTCTTAAGTGCTTATTAACCATTTCATATTAGAAGATTTGTGCATATGGCCCACCTAAAGGCAATTAGTCACTGTTGTGCATGTGCTCAGTAATTATAGGGCAACAGCCATACTGGTCCATACTATTGAGCACTCCACAAACCTCATTTGAAGTAGAACAGGAAGGAAGGGAAACATGGTGGAGGATAATTTATTCTAAAACTGGATACAAAATAGCAGGAAATATGTCTGGTAATGCATTGTGGATGAATGCAGTGGTATCACATAGTATATTTGAATTGTGTTCTTGTGGTGGGCAATACAATAGTAAAAAGTAAATGAACAAATTCTTAGAGCACTTTCCATGGAGCATACAGTACAAAAAACAGAGACAATTTACTTGTTTAAGACAGTTTACTTTAGAGGGAATTCCTTCTGTAAACCCAAAGACTACAAATTGTCTATGTGAATAATATTATCAACAACATGGCCCTCTTTTTTATAGAAACAGATGGTTTGACCAGGATGTGAGCAGTATTCCATGTGTGTCCGAACTTGTGCTTACAGATCAATGTATGATAAGAAAAAAGTTATGTAGCCCAAAGTATACAATGAGAAAACTATTCCTGTGATGACTTGTATGCAAATATTAAATTCAATTAAAAATCTACCCAAATCTATTATCTTTTACAGTTTCTCTGGAGAACATCACTCGTCTGTCCCTAAGCCACAACAAAATCTCTGTAGTGCCTGCTGCACTAGCCAACTTGAGCAACTTAGAAATTCTAAACTTGGCCAATAACAACATTCAAGAGCTCCCAGTCAGTTTATCATCACTACCAAAGTTAAGGATCCTCAATGTTTCATTAAACAAACTGTATAACTTGCCGAGGGGTTTTGGTTCCTTCCCTGTACTAGAGATATTGGATCTAACATACAATAATTTGAATGAAAAAGTATTACCTGGGAACTTCTTTATTATGGGTAAGTCAGACATGTTAAAATTACTAACTCTATTGGTTTTCTCACCCAGTTGAAACTTGGTCTCTGGAACAAGTATTGAACACTGTATCACTAAGTATAATCTCATACTAAACCAGAGGCTATAGTGTGATTTTTTTAATATTGATATCAATAATGGATGTAGATGTAGGCCAAAGTTTTTATGGTAGATAATTGGATCCATCTAGTATCAATGTGATATGAACCTGCAATTCCATAAGACTTTGTCAAACCCATTTACATCAGAACTTTACTATACAATTAAGTACATCTCACCACCAATCATGATGATTGACTAAGTAGTATTTTTAATTCACTATTCACAGACAGTCTCCGTGCTTTGTATTTGGGTGACAATGATTTTGAATTTCTACCACCTGAAATTGGAAATTTGAAGAATCTACAAATTGTAAGCATTCTTTTAATCATTAGTCAAACTTTTAATTTACCCATGATTAGTGAGCTTTATAGACCACTCCATTAAATAACCTCTTACAGACCTGAGATCTTTGAGTCTGCTACTTATAATATCTAAACTGTAAGCGGAAATTGCACCCAAGCAGCATGCTGATATATACTACACAGACGATGGCACAATGCACAGCTTTCGTTGCCCTAAGCGTGTCAGATCCTTCCGATCCAATTAGTGTTTTAGTTCTAGTTAAACTGCTTGAAAAGTTCCACTTGTAACCTAACCTATAGACACAACCTGCTAAGTTTTCGCCGGATCTTCACAGACAGTCACAATTTCGATACAAATATTAGCAAGTTCGGTTGAACCTTATGAGCTCATCTGCCAAACCGTGCATAGCTGAATTTGCCCTTCGAGGCGAGCAGCGATTAATTATGGAAAAACAATGTTATTGAAGAAGTTGGTAATGAAAAATACACAATTGGGGATATCATTGTATGAAAATAGATTGTCTTAAAAATATCTATTTTTAATATAAGACCAAATCTTGTTTTTTATTATGTTTCAAGAGAATTTTCTTAAAAGAGTGGTATATTTAGTGAAGAAACTAATAGAAGCTGTTTTAGTTTACAAATTGGCTCATCTAGGATGCTTTATATATCTAGCTAATAGTTGTAAACCAATCCGGTCGTTTCCATACACAAACAGGAAACACGTTGAAATATGTTTTTGATATAAATTTCCTTTCTGTGTCATAATAACGCAAATATCGAATTATTACTATTTATTTTAGTCTTGATAAAAAATTCTGAATGGTTAGATATAGTATGTTTAATGTGGTTAGCCCAAGATATTCAATAATTTATTAACACATACAAAGTACATGTACTTACCCTCTTGCACGCCTCACGATGTATTCACGTGGAAAGGAATCAGAATACAAGAAAAAATTGAATACAATGGTTCAGTAATCATAATTAACTTAGTTATTAAAGTAATCATAAATAGCTTCGACCTTTTCTTCAAAGTTGATAATGGGAGCTCAGATCCTACCGCTCCCAGGTCGTCCGGCAGTTCTGTTGTAATGATAACATTAATGTGCAGTTGTCGATGCGCGAGAACGACCTGATAGAAGTTCCCCGGGAGCTGGGGCAGCTGGCGCGCCTCCGCGAGCTGCATCTGCAGGGGAACCGCCTCGTCGTGCTGCCGCCGGAGATCGGTGCGTGCCGCTCTCTCTCTCTCTCTCATCATCATCATCATCATCATCATTATCATCATCAGCCTTTATCTTTTATTTTTTTTATTGCTTAGATGGGTGGACGAGCTCACAGCCCACTTAGTGTTAAGTGGTTACTGGAGCCCATAGACATCTGCGACGTAAATGCGCCACCCACCTTGAGATATAAGTTGTAAGATCTCAAGTATAGTTACAACGGCTGTCCCACCCTTCAATTCGAAACGCATTACTGCTTCACGGCAGAAACAGGCAGGGCGGTGGTACCCACCCGCGCGGACTCACAAGAGGTCCTACCACCAGTAAGATTATCTGCCCACTGCTGGACATAGGCCTTCCCCAATGCTTTCCATATAATGCGGTCCTCCGTGTCTCTCTGTGTGCCGACTCGGAAAACGATGACGCATAATTCGTCTTTTCGCACTAAAAGTGTACAATTTCCTAAAATATTCGAAATTGAGTTTAATATGCGGAATCATCTGGTATTACCAGTATTTTTCTCATAAATAGGTACTGTTAAAAGAGGGTAGTTTCGTTTTTTTTTTTAGTTTACCTATGTTTTCTATTGTCAAAGTAATACATAATATTATCTTACTTTAATAAACAGATAATGTAATTGGTAAAAAATAAAAAGTAAATGTTGCAAAGATGATTAATATTAAAAATATCACATTTTAAACCTGTAAAATTAGTCAGTTTTGAGATTAAACAATTTTAATGCGAGAAAACGATATCAGGAAGAATATATAGTGCACGTGGCACTAGTTGGTGGTGACAGGGGTGATGGGGCAGGTTGCCTACTGCTCGTAACAATCGTAACGCAAATGAGAATAGACAGTGATGACTAAATAAAATAAATAAATGAATAAAAGAAATAATAAATAAATAAAAAACAATTGAACTTTTCGAAGTTTATAGTGTACCTATCTAATTATATTGTTATTAATAGTAAAATAAACCAAAAACGAATTAAGTATATGAAATTACTCTGACATAATTATCCTCTGAATCACTTGATTCTGAACTCTCTGAACTTGATTCAGAATCATCTTGTAAGTTTATTTCGTCCTTATAGTATCAAATTTCACATGAGTAAAGACAACAAGCGCCCCCGCCCCTCCGTCCCCCGCTCACATACCTAAGGCGTCGCCGACTAGTTCCGCGCGCACAATAAGGACTACGCAATGTCTCGCAGTTGGCGCGGCGGCGGGGCGAGTGGCTCGCACCAGTACGAACTTATGCCGTTACAACAATTCGAGGGATAAAAGGCTGTTTGCTTTAAACGACATTTTTGCAATTTCACCTGTTGGAAAATGAACCTGTATTATGTATTGCCAATGCGTTATATATGTCTAGTAACCCCTTAAGGTCAGGTCGGGTTGTGAGTTGTGGTTAAATGTATTATTTCAGGAACATTGGACCTCGCCAGCAACAAGTCAGTGCTGAGGCTGGAAGGTAACTTCTGGGTGCCGCCCATCGAAGACCAGCTCAAGCTGGGGCCGTCCCACGTGCTGGACTACCTGCGCTCAGAGACCTACAAAGTGTGAGTGCCACCCGCCTCTTTTTGTCTCAGATAATTTCTTTACTTGACTGACTCACTTGACTCAGCAAGAAATTTTCAATTCAATTAAATCAAAAAACAAACTTGTCGATCTTTCACAGGATATGCTTCTGGCCAACCTATTTTGTATATCAGAGTAAGATCAGACAAAGGCGAGTTAAAATAAACACTATTTATTTATTTATTGATTATTCGATACGGTACACTTGCTCTACACTGATTTAAGAGGTTCCTTTACGATATATAGTTCGACTGTATCGGTTGAAGAGTTATGTGCGACTGTCCTACTTCATAATGGCTGAATACCTTGCAACCTTACTACACATGCATGATTAAGCTAACTTCAGCCGGCACAGTCGACACCTCAAATTCTTTAGCACTATAGTGAAAGGCAATGATCTGTTGCAGCCTGTACAGCCGCCACATGTCGGCCAAGCCGCCGCCGCCGCCGCAGACCGTCGACAAGAGCAAGAAGGCGAGTCGCGCCGCCTAACCGCCGCCCCCCAACCCCCCGCCCCCGCCGCGGGACTACTAACACCCCCTAACAAGATGCGACGAGTACGTGTACAATGCATCTGTGTGCAAATTCTATCTTTATTTTCTAATGAAGGGTAATCCCTTGTACGCAACTAAGCCGCTGCCTACTACTGACTACTGGTGGTAGGACGTCTTGTGAGTCCGCACGAGTAGATACCACTACCCTATTTATTTCTGCCGTGAAGCAGTAATGCGTATCGGTTTGAAGGCTGGGGCAGCCGTTCTAACTATACTTAAGACCTTAGAACTCATATCTCAAGGTAGGTGGCAGCATTTACGTTGTAGACATCTAAGGGCTTCGGTAACCACTTTACATCAGGTTGGTCGTGAGCTCGTTCACCCACCTAAGCAATAAAAAAATTTAAAAGGGTACTCCCCGCAAGATTCGTGTGATAGCGGTTTGAAAACTGAACTCTTCCCGATAATATAAAATGATTAAATAAATTATATTTTACACAGATTTCCAAAATAAAAGAAACCTTGTAATTAAATCATTTTATTCACAAACAAATGTAACTCGTACAAAAATAACTAGGAACTAGTATTCAACATTCAAAATTCATCAGAAATGGACAGAGTGAACTTTGTTAAAATCAAAATTCACAGCAAAATAATGAAGATTAATAAGTCTCATAGTCTGACACACGGGGAGCCCGGCCCGGACCGACACACCTGTACCTGCCTTTATTCACTGAACCGCAGAGAACAAGTGGCTAAATACTTCAGAATTGGTGCTACGACACACCTGCAATGTGCAATGCTAATGTAGTCATTTATTAACTAATCAAAATAAAATTAGACTGTTTATTTATATTCTATTAATAGCATGTCGTTTATATAGTTTAAACTTTCATAGTATAACGCTTGAGTGAAATCAATACTACTAATATTGACCAAAAATTTGACAATTCCAGTTCTGTGCATAAATACAAAAAATACTTATATATTATATTAAAATATATCACTGACACATTAGTTATTTATTTTAATAAAGTAAAATTACTAAACAATCTGAGTTTTTTTATTTTAATTTGTTCGTACAATTGATATTTTTTGACACTAGTCTTTCGAAACAATTATGGTGAGTTCAATATAATAACATTAATTAGTGTTCATAGTAGTTAATATTATACTTAGAACTGAAATCGTCTAATTCAGTGGCGCCGTCCACAATGTAGTCCATGGACTCCGATGCCTGCACAGACATTAACATACGATGATACACGTATTGTTATGTGTGGGCAGCCGTGTACAGATTCACGTTGATTATATAATGGCGACAAAACTAAAGCTTCCAATGCTGCACAAGTTCTTGCCGCATATGCTTAGGGAAATAGCCGACACAGCAATGTAGCGCAAACTGAGCCCGCTCGATACTATAGCGGGGTGCAGACTGGTGGTTCTGCACATCAATGTGTATAATTAACATTTAAACAGAACATTGGGAGAGGTGACTCCTGGAACTTTTTGCGGTATTTACAAAAACTAATAATTAGATTTGAAAGTTCATCAATAGAGGATCTCATGTAATAACAGTCCGAACTGGCTAGAATCCGAAGAGTGACAAGGCGGCCTCGCCCCCGGGTGCGCCCGTACACCAGTATCCTGTCCCAGTCCTGCCGTCTCCGGGGTGGGTTCTGTGTTAAAGGGTAGGATAGCTGGACCCGCACTTGTGTAGCCCAGGTCGCAAGCTCGTCTGTGTACTTCTCAAAATCGATGGCAGCCTTGACGCCTGCGTGCCCCGGCGACTGCTTCAGACCAGGTAGATGTGTGTGTCGGCCCCCTGCTGGCTCGGCTCGGCCTACGCGGAGTCGTCGTCGCTGTCGGTGAGGTCGTCGTCGTCAGATATCTCGAGCTGGTTCCTGGTGGAGTGCGAGCTGGGCTTGCGGCTCCGGTCCAGGGAGAACGCGTAGGACTCGTAGTCCAGGATCTCGTCGTCGCTGAGGTGCGAATTCCCCTCCACGAAACTTGCGAATCTGAAAACAGAGTCAGCGGACAGTAGTGGAGGTGCGCGTGGGGCCGTTGTGTTGCAACAAATATCTTTTTTTTTGTAGCTTAGATGGGTGGACAGCCCGTCTGATGTTAAGTGGTTATTGGAGCCCATAGACATCTTCAACGTAAATGCGCCACCTACCTTGAGATATAAGTTCTAAGGTCTCAAGTATAGTTATAACGGCTGCCCTGCCCTTCAAACCGAAACGCATTACTGCTTCACGGCAGAAATAGGCAGGATGGTGTTGTACCTACCCGTGCGGACTCACAAGAGGTCCTACCAGTACTTATGCAAATTATAATTTTGCGGGTTTGATTTTTATTACACAATGTTATTCCTTCACCGTGGAAGTCAATCGTGAACATTTGTTGAGTACATATTACATTACAAAAACTGGTACCCGCCTGCTGGATTCGAACACCGATGTATAGCTTCAACACGAATGCACCGGACGTTTTATCCTTTAGGCCACGACGACTTCTAAGGCATTTTATATATTTTTGAATCTTTATGCAGTGTCCGGTTTGTGTAAATGGTTTAAGTAGAGATTAGTTAATGAGGCCGACCTCTTGGAGTCGTTAAGTTTGAGCATGACGGCCCACTGCGCGCAGTCGGGACTGGCGCAGTGCTCCCGCAGCGCCGCCAGCGCGCGCCGCGTCTCGCGCGCTCCCTGCTCGTAGTACTCCTCGCTGGTTAGCAGCCGCCGCGCCGGGGGGAACCTGCTGCGCCTGGAACCCGCCTTACTGTACTGCATCCGCAAACAACGGTCGAGCACACAACGAACAGATCGCGTCCGTTCGTGTACGTACACTAATACCGGTCACTCACATTCGCACGAATACGCAAACCCGCAAGTGTAGGACGACTTTTGCAAATGATTATGCAAAGTTTTCGCTGCATTCGCGGTTTTCAAAGCTGTGTTGGTTTTTTTAACGGACATCAAAGCGCGCGAACCGCGATCCTTCGCGTAGCCTCCCATACATTCGTGTGACGAGTTGTGCCCACGATTGCGAAGGTAACGGACGTTTCGCCATTTTCATAGTTCATGACGTCTACTGTGTAGCGTACCTTCATCATGGATTGGAACAACACCAAGGTGATGGAGTTCATTGAACTCCTGCAAAATGAATCAACCATATGGGACCCTCAAAAGAAATCCGATAATAACAGAATGGCCGTTAATGACGCCAGGGAAATAATTAAAAACTCTTTTTCTTTTCAATGTTCTATTGACGAATTAAAAAAGAAGAGAAATTCGTGCGAAATTCGTAAACAAGTGTAGGAGGAAGCGCAAACGGGTTCGCAAATTGAGTACCGAACCCATTTGCACAGCCGCTAAGTTTGCGAAGGAATGCCTGACGGCCAGAGTGGCCAGCATAACCTTCTTTTTTTTTGTTCGAAAATTTCTTGGAAACGCGAGCATTGCTTTGTGTTGACTGTAGAGAGCATGCGAACCGAATCATACGAGCAACAAAATTGAGACAATAATATTCAAAGTCAATATTGAATCTAACACAAAATATTATAAATGTCATAGTGTATTACAAGTACTGTGCGTCTCGCAGTGCTAAATGCTACAGCAAAGCAAAGCTTCAAAAAATGCTTGACTTCATGTCAGTTGTTTACAAAGACTTACCAATATCCTCGTATTCTGTATACCCACGACTCCGGGAAATACTTAATGATCATCGAAGCTATGATGATGGCCGCTGAAGCTTCCTGGTACTCGCTGCTAAAGAATATCATCAGCACTCCGACGCACTGCAAACATTTGCAGCAATGTATTGTAAAACAAACAAGGCTCCGCGCTTCACGACAGAGAATCGCAGGTGTTGTACCTATTGTGTTTAGCTATAGAGTTCATTGTATGAGACACATCAGACACTCCTTTATAAATCATTGACTACGGTTGAGGAGTCCCGACCGAACACAGCTGGTACTGCTGATGATTTACATCATAGCATTCAAAACTCCTAATCATTAGTATTCTCTGGAGAGCAGCTTAGCTGTTAGCGGTAGGCAGCGGCTTAGCTGTGCCCCTGGCATTGCTGAAGTCCATGGGCGACGGTAACCACTCACCATCAGGTGGGCCGTATGCTCATCTGCTTACAAGGGCAATAAAAAAAAGGCGGGTAAAGGAGCGATTCTTTTGTTTTGCGTTACATTGCGGGTTTAAATATAACAAGAAAACTTATTTAGGCTTCAGGTGGGATCTCGTTTTTAGTCAGCAATTCATTGCCATTGTCAATAGTATCCGAATTGGTATCTTGGACGTGACCATAAATGTTTTTGTTTGTCCTTTTTTTTCTTTTTGTTGAATGCATTTTTTTTACTTTAGTCAATTAAATATAGAAAAAATTCTATGGCATTGCTAATGTTGAACTTTTGCATTGTTCACTAACCTGTATTGTCCACATTACAATGTTCTTGCTTCGTTGATTCCTCGGTGGACCTATCCTGTAGCAAACTAAGAAACTGATGAAGCTGACTGCCAACGTGTACCAGATCACATAATTCCGGTGATCCACAGCTAATGTTTGAATGTTCTCCCACATTTGTTGGAATAGATACACTCCAACAGTCCAGCCACCAATGAGGAGGCCATAAGTTAATGTGCGCTGTAAGACAAATAAGTTAATCTGTAATGTTTAGTACAATTTGTATCAATGAGCTCATTGGCTAAGCTATCGGACGTCGGGTGTAAGAGTGCAGAGGAGTCGTAGTCGTTTAGTGCGGTAGGACCCTAACTGCGTTCATCCACAGTGCGTTTCCAGAGATCATTTTGGCCACGTACCATCCGGCTTTGGAATGAGCTCCCCTCCACGGTGTTTCCCGAGCGCTATGACATGTCCTTCTTGAAACGAGGTTTGTGGAGAGTATTTAATGGTAGGCAGCAGCTTGGCTCTGCCCCTGGCATTGATGACGCCCATGAGCGACAGTAACCACTTACCATCAGTTGTGCCGTATACTCGTGCATGCTCGGGCAATAAAAATAAAAATAAAAAACATATAAAAAACCAGTCATACCTTAGGCAGCATTTTGCTGATGTAATACATTAAAACCATAAATGATGCAAAGACGCCAATGAAGATCCCACACAAGTAGAAGAACACGGGGTTACCGCTCAGAGACTTTGAAGAGAAGATGAGTGCTATGCCAGCAGCCATTAGTATGACGCGCCATAGATCCACCCCTTTTAGAATAAATAGTGACATTGTTTATTAGGAACAAAGATATATTATGTACCTAATTGATTCTAGTAAAACATTCATTGAAGTTTTTGAACCATTTTAACAACGTTGTACAACATATCAAATGCATGTATATTAATACTTTGAGGATTAAACATTGACACATTTGGAACATCTGGGTATATCAGTCAGTCAATAGTCACTCAACTGCTTTAATTAAGACATGACTATGTATGCACATTTATTTATTTTACAAAAATAAACGTTATTTTAATACTAAGACAGTTTTATGAGATATACAGTCGAGTTTTTTTTAAATATCAATAAAAATTTGCAATTACAGCTTTTGTATCAATTCTTAACCATTGCTAAAAATTACTTAAGTTACCATTAATTCTTTGTAAATGTTCAACTAGTCATTTGGATAAAATTGAAAAATTAATTAATCAAAAAATAAGTACACTCTAACTTAAGTAAGTGAGAGCTGGGTGATTGATAAAACTCTTTTTAGTGAGAAGAAGAGCCTGGTTCTGTAATTTTCTGCCTCTGACACTTTTATAAAAGAGTCATGGATTCTTTTTTTTCCATTTGTGCATAGGCCTCTATAACTGAGACCACTACTTATCTGGAATTTTATAAACAACTGCAATTATTTATTTATTTATTTTTATATATATTAATTTATTTTTAATTTCTCTGAATTTCACAATAAGTCCTCTAAAGCAGTTTGAACCATTTAGAAACTCAGGTTAGTCAAAAACCTCCATTATCAAGAAAGATATTGCAGTCCTTTGAACTCCCACTTATCCAGGTTCAACTATTACATTAAATGAATATAAATATGGAATTGTCAATGATTCTGGTTGAATATTTTGAAGTCGTCGTGGCCTAAAGGATAAGACGTCCGGCGCATTCGTGTTGAGCGATGCAACGGTGTTAGAATCTCAGTCGGGTACCAATTTTTCTAATGAAATACTTACGTACTCAACAAATGTTCACGATTGACTTCCACGGTGAAGGAATAACATCGTGTAAGAAAAATCACACCCGCAAAATTATGAATCGCGTAATTACTGGTGGTCTCTTGTTAGTCCGCGCAGGTAGGTACCACCACCCCGCCTATTTCCGCCGTGAAGCACTAATGCGTTTCGGTTCGAAGGGTGGGGTAGCCGTTGTAACTATACTGAGACCTTAGAACTTATATCTCGAGGTGGGTGGCGCATTTACGTTGTAGATGTCTATGGGCTCCAGTAACCACTTAACATCAGGTGGGCTATGAGCTCGTCCATCCATCTAAGCAATAAAAAAAAAAACAATCACTAGACCAATCCCAGTATATTATTTAGTTTGATAACTTGCAATTTTCAGGGCATTAATTCTTGATGAATTAAAAAATTATACTTACTTTGCACCAGCAGGTCAATACTATGTCTTTCTTTAGTGTTAATGGCCATGCATGTTGGCTCAAACAAGTTGATGGAAACAGTTTTCTGTGATTTCTTAATGAACGGATTAACAACAGACCAACCGTAGCTATCTTTTGTATACTCTTTATAAACATCTTCTGGATTTGAGCCAAGGTATTGACGAAATTCATCATTTTTAATTCTTATTTGAAACTGTAACCCAAAAGTTTATTTTACCAAATAAATTTTACACAAACGGTACTATTCATATACAAATAATAGTCATAATACAATCATTCAAAAATTTCGTAAAGCAATGCTGTATTCTAAATCAAACCTGCATAATTATAACTTGCATAATTACTGGTTGTAAAAAAAAAACAGTAATATGTTTCGGTTTTGAAGGGCATGGCACCCATTATACCTAAAGACCTAAGAACTCATATCTCAAGGTTTGTAGCAGCATTTACATTATAGATGTCTATGGGCTGTGAGCTCGTCCACCCATCTAAAATAATTTCACCAATACGTCTATGGCAGAAGCAATTCAAAATCAACATTAATAAAATTCTGTACAATTTAGTAAGCAATTAAATGTATTTATAAAGCAATAAGAACATTCATAATCACATTAACAAATAGACATTGAGATGAGATTAATTCAGATCTTGGTTATTTATGAAAAAAAACAAAAAGAGGCCTTGTCTGCAAATAATAATACAATGGGACAGTAAAATAGGGGACTCTGTATGTTACAATACACACTTACTTTCACAGTTTGCCAGAGTGCAAATAAACTTTTTGTTGTACCAGTATAACAGTAGATGTCGATAGCCTTTTTCGAAGATGGTATTTCCCTTTCAATTGTGGTCGGTCCGCCTAACCAATGAACTAAAAAAGATTTTTATGTTATTTAATTTGATAATACTGCCTCAAATACTAAATCAAAGGGTGAAATACTATTTGGTTTAAGCTATATTTATCAGTGTAATTAAAGGAGAGTTTTATTTGGTATTAGCATCAACAGTTTGATGTTTTTAATTGAATTTCAATTAAGTTTACTTCATTGAAATAGCTGCAGAAGTTTCACGGTTATGGTATTTTTTTCTAAATTTTAAATGCTGAATGGCTCTCTTGTAAAGTTGCAAAAATGTCGCATAAAACCAAGTTGTCTTTCACCTCTCGAAATTATTTGCATAAAACCTTAATTGTTTTAAAAGAAACAGCTCTTTACATACGCATTTTTAACAGCTCCTGCACGGAAACTAGTAGTAAGGAGTCAACAGTACATAATATTTAACTTGCATCACAATGAAATTATATGTGTTTTTGACAATCCTATAAAAGTGAATAATAAAACTTACTGTCGTAAGGTAAAGAAGACGCTTCTGATAATAGAAGCATTAACAACACCGATATCCTTAATTCACTAATCATTTTTATTTATAATTGTGTTTACTTTCGTTTCATAACAATACAAATTAATTACAAATTATTGTGTCAAGAAAGTTGCCAATCAATAGAAAACACTTTCATTGCTCTTTCATTACAAACAACTTATTAATATATACGACGGCTTTGGGGTCCTAGACACATATAAAAGAAATTCGGCTATTAAAAATAGAATGGAGATATGTAACTCGATGCTATTATTATCATTACACATTTGTTTCGCAAATATTATGAACTCAGATCAGTCAGATCAAATTAAATAAACAGTCAATTCGGTTTAAGGCCACAAGTAACTGGACTTTTAGCCCGCTTCATAAATTACAAATTAGGGTCTCCGGTTATGTGGGGATTTACAAATACCATACTACGTCACTTTATAAATCGATGCATAGTTCGTGGTTTTAGTAACAGTCTAAATCGTCTAAAAATTGTTGAAAATTTATTAATACCAATAGCATTGTGGTATCTTCATACACATGAACCGCACAGTTACTGGATCAACTGGATCCAAGGTTCTTAGGAACACCTAGCAGTTCAATTTGAACAAGTCTTTGTGTTGGGATCACTCCGGATTTCATGACATCATTACTTATTTAATTTATAAATCTTGTAATACCCCCAATCAAATTACTTTTTTTGCTGCCTCGAATTAAATAAGGATTAAGCGGAGTATTTCTCAGAGCGACATGCGACAGTCTGAGTCTTTTGTGGTTTTGTTTAGCCCTTAATCTTTAGGTACATTAATGAAAGATTCAACTTCAATCTTTTTTTTATTAGTATTTTTAATTATTGTTAAAAAAAAGTTTAATTAATAAACTGGTGGTAAATTTAAACTGGTACACCACCCTGCCTCTTTCTATCGTGAAGCAATAATGCGTTTCGGTTTGAAGGGTGGGGCAGCCGTTGTAACTATATTAAGACCTTAGAACTCATATCTCAAGGTGGGTAACGGCATTTGTAGATGTCTATGGGCTCCGATAACCACTTAACACCAGGTGCCACTTAACGCCAGGTAAGCCTACGTGGATTGATACTACCACCTAGCCAGTTATCCCTTACACAATACAATTGAAAAAAGAACTTAAAGTCAACATGATATAAAATTTGTGTCTACAAATACATAATTACCTATATGCTTATTAGAAAAACTCTCATGAAGAGCTTAACAATCAGACCAATCTTATCTTATCTTATACCTTTAAACGAGCAATCCTTGTTTATTAATATATATGTATATAATCTGAATCTCGGAAACAGCTCCAACGATTTTCATAAAATTTAGTATACAGAGGATTTCGGGGGCGATAAATCGATCTAGTTACGATTTATTTTCGGAAAATGTTGTTTTATTCGTGTTTTCAATAATTAACTCTTCCCGGCATCTATTGGCGAATAATAATACTATTTTTCTTAATTGAGGGCAACTAACCGCTTTAAAAACTTAACAAGATGGCGTTATCAAAAAAAAAAACCGAACAAAGCTCGGTCATCATCTAGTGATTAATATATAAGCATGAATTAGAATAAGGACATATTTTATGCCATGTTGACGATAAGTAAGAATCAGGGACGAAACGAATTGGTGGTCCATTCCATTTCCAAAAAAATATTACGAAGCTTAAGCACTCAAGAGTTGGTGGCTCGTTGGGGGCGGTGCCGGTGGCAAGTAATTTTTTTTTCGGTCAGATTTCATAATACTACTACTACTACTGTGCTAGCGTTATGACCCCGAAGTGCATAGATCAAAGCGGGTTTTGGCCTCCTACAATATACGCTGCCATTCGTCGTTTTAGTAAGATTCAAATCTGTTATGGGGTGAATGAAGTTAGCCCCTCAAAAAAATTTTTTTTTCCTGTTTTCTACTTATTTTCTATTAATTCGTTTGTTCATCATTTGTTCTTGATTGTTCATTGTTAATAATTGTTTGTTCCCCATTTATTTATTTTAAAAAAAATATTAAAAATATATCTAAAAGTTAGCCCCTCGATTGCAATTTTTAATATTTTTTCNAGTAATTAAGGACGAAAAAATATTAAAAATTGCAATCGAGGGGCTAACTTTTAGATATATTTTTAATATTTTTTTTAAAATAAATAAATGGGGAACAAACAATTATTAACAATGAACAATCAAGAACAAATGATGAACAAACGAATTAATAGAAAATAAGTAGAAAACAGGAAAAAAAAAATTTTTTGAGGGGCTAACTTCATTCACCTTCTGTTATGGTAATTATGCATTCCATAGACTAAAATCATTATGATGTAGTGTAGACTGTAGTTCTTTATGTTGACCCTCGAGTGTCATTCTAAGTTTGACGTATTTATCAAAATCGTTTTTGGACGGGTAATCCCGTACAGAATTTGTAGAGGCGATCATAAACAATTTAAATCTAATAAGCCAGTAGTACCTAGTCAATCTCATATTATCAGTGTGGTGTGTTAATAATTTATCATACAAATTTTTAATTGAAATGTGGTTGCGTTGCAGATTTTAAGTGTGTCGTGTATTGGTTTTGGCTTTATAAAATATCTTCAGACAATTTCTTTCAAACTTAAGATTTCTGTGCTGAATATAAAGATGCAATCTTCGAGTCCTGGACCTGTTATTGATCTTCGTGCTGATGTTAACCGCCTTGTGTTGCACAGCAACCTTATAAACTTGGAAGTGATTATCGACATTGAACACGAACTAAGGAAAGAATCTAGTGACCTTATTTCCCTTATGTTTCTCTTGTACGATGATCCGGACATTGCATTAGTGAAATTGACAGCTTATCAGCAATCTAGTAATGCATATCATGAGCACTCCTTGCTTCAAGATTGGCTTTTAAAGGCGAAATGTAAGCTGACTTGGAAACATGAATTGGTCGAAGGATTGTTGATTTGCAAAATGAATAATTTGGTTAGAAAGATGGGTTTCGATTTAAACAGCCTAAAATCATACTACCAAACAGACAATTGCATAATGAGCATACATATAAATCCTGTAAAAAAGTTACTTTACAGAATATGCGAGGAAATGAACGCCACGAATTTTTCGAAGTTCAAGCGGTCGCTCTTGGCCTATGGTTTGGATTTTACAAAGCAAGACATTTGTGAAATTATCTTGCTTGAATTAATATCTAAAGAATTTATAAAGACGAATTTTAGTAACAAATGTTTATCCGTTGCAAATACTTCTACTAAAAAAATGGCCGTGCGGGATTTCGTGAAAACAATTGAAAATTTAGAAGGATTACAAATATTGACAATGGAACTAAAGGCTTTAGAGACGGAAGTGAATAAACATTTCGAAAAGGCTTCTAATTCACCTGAGGACGCCCCTATTTCGGAAGAAACACATAAAGAGGATGATAAATTTGATAATGCTGAAATATTTGAAGATTCTTTGAATTTTGAAAATCTGACATTAGAAGATTTTCATGCGAGTTGTTAGTTTCCAAGCTGACACTTATACACTTAAAATTTGGTGGAGCAAAAAAAAGTTAACTGTTGATAATTTTTAAGATTTTGCCAGGCATCGCCTTTGGCTATATTCTCCTGGGAGAATTGGAGGTGGAGGAGAACCTGTCTTCCTCTTCTCCCTCCTCATCTCTGGAGGCGCCGAAGTTCGACATCAACCAGTCTGCCACCAAAACCGAGTATCCGTACACGGATTCCCAATGATAAAAAAGGGCCTTTGGTGTGATATTAATTTTATTGCAAAAGACTAGAAACAATAAGGATTTCTATTGATGCTAGGGTGTATTGTGAATCTGCACGGGTACGTTTCTTACTATTATTAAAATAATATACTACTTATCTGTGCCGCATAGCAGTCGCGCGTTACAGTGGCGGAATGGCGTAATGTCAGTGTAAATGTTTAAAAAAAGTTTTTATTAATTTACCTTGCAAATGTGAGCTGAATTAGAAGATTTATGGGATATTGTATATGCATTCAATCATGAATCCACATTATAAGCTTGTTTTAAATATAATTTTTTTATTACCTGCTGATTTATTAAAAAATATTAATATATCACCTAGAACTAGGAGTGGGTAATATCGGTTTTGCCGCGTATCGAATCGTATCTATATATCGAGGATCAATATCGGATATTGAATCTATATATTTTCTGAATCTATATATTGATGGATGCTAGTAGATTTTCTCGATTCATGATATTTGAGATTTGAAACGATACGCTGATATAATATCGTAGTAGATATAGATTTAAGTCAACGNACTTTGTATTCCATTGGCAGTCACAAAACTCTTCGGAACGACATCTTAGATAAATAACAGGTTAACTATTAACCTTTATTTAATGCAGGTTTTGAACCGTATTCTTTGAAGGAGACGATTATATTCAAATAAATCTGTATTGACATATCAATAAAAATTTTTTGTCCAAATGTACAGATTGCCGCCTTTGATAATAGACGACTCATATGCCGATGCGCATCACATCGAGCAATATCGTGTATCGGCTGATATCGATATATAGATTTCGTGCGGGGCGATATCGGATTCAACGATATTGCTGCGATATATAGATATTGAATCTATATACGATTTATATCACCCACTCCTACCTAGAACCCTCAACCTTGTGTGTAGTAACAGTATCTGTAAGGCTGAGCGCCTTAAACTGTTACTCTACGAACATTTTCCTACAGTAGGACGGTGACCGGTGTTTGAGGGTCCTAAAGAGTGAATTCGGGTGATCCGACAAGACGTATTTTGGGCGACGGCGGCTTTGCGTTGGTCCGCCGCGTTCGCGTAAGTAATTAGCGGTGCCCACGTTTTCGTGTCGCGCCGCTTTGTCAAAGTAGCTTTCTGAGGCTTCCTTAAAATGTTTACGCACCGGTGCAAGAATTAGGTCGTCGTGAAGACCTACATTTCTCATATACCACGGTGCTCTGACGCCTATTCTGCAGAAACGGGATTGGATGACTTGGAGGGAGTTGATGTCTGTACGGGCCGCGTGTGCGAACGCTACACTTGCAGTAGCGACCGACGGTCCAGAAGAATATGATTCGGAGCTTGCGCATGTTATTATTTTGAAAATGTCTGAAGGTTTTTGTCAGATTTTTTTTAACCTCTGACAGCTACTGGTACGTTTATTCATAAAAAAAGGTAGTTTACCATTTGTCAGTTCGTTGGTAGCCTAAGGGGCTATTAAAACTACGCGAGAACCGGTAGGTGAGGCTCAACCTACAGGAACTAACACTAGCAAGAGCAGTGCTTAGCTTATCACTGCAAGGGAGCGGTGTATTTTATGGCAGCAATCTTCAATTCAGCAACACAGGAGTCAGTGGGATAATTAGAAGGCGAATTAGGTGAAGGGTCCTACAGGAAAGGTCTTATGCTTAGAGCATGCATCATGAATTCAATAAAACAATACAATTCTAAAGTGATTTTACATTTATTTGGTAATAAGGCATGGTGTATACAGGCCACGTAGCTGCGGTCATGATAAGGCACTTTCTTCCACTTGTTGTACTGGATTGTACTTATTAAGGAATGTTAGAATACTGTTAATAAAAATATACTTTAATAAATAACAGATCAGTCCTCACACCACTTTTCAATAACCATGCACTGTACACTTAGGACGAAAAGCTCTCTAAAATTAAATTAAGAATTTTAAAATAGTTTTTCACAATATATATAGTATGTTTTATTGGTCGCATGTTTGATTGGCTATATGATCACAAGAATTTGTTTTAATATAGCGGTAGAAGATTATTTCGTTCCGCGAAAATAAGTGCATAAAAATTAATAAAATAAAATATTTAAACTCAATTGTTTTGGGAGGATGTAGAATCTTACTTTTTGCTTTTAGCTAACTATTGTGTCTTAGTTATTGTTAAGGCTCCGATATAGTTTCGAACAAATGCTTCTTAAAATAAAATAAATTACATAATATCCACACTGTAGACCAATGACACAAAAAGCAATTTTTTTTTTAAATATCTAAAGCGTGGACTTTAATTTTATTATTTACTATAAATTGTCCAAGAGCCTTGAAAATAAACAACAAAAACTATTTTTAGATATTAATAAAACATTGTCAAGTTTATAATATTTTCACACAAGTTGTTCTTCTGCGAACCAGGATGGACAATGGGAACTGAATCTATCTTAATACAGGAGAAACATTTTGATTTTAATTGCTTAATTTAAATGTATCAAATGAATTAATACAAAAATATTGATATTAAAAATATTATTCAAAACGTTTAGAAAACGATTTGAATAATATTTTTCTTTTAAAACAAAATATTACAGGAATAATTTATTTTTGAACTTAAATATAATTAAATACTAAAGTTCCACTGAACTCTACTAGCTTCTCATTTTGTAAAAAGTAAACTATAGTATTTTTTCCTCAACATAATTACAGCATAATATAAAATAAGTGCTTTTTAGGAATGCTTTTTCCGTTTAAATAAATTAAAATTGATTTTATAAATACCAATGTCTTTTACTAACATATTTACTTACTGATCACAGTATTTATATCAAATAGAAAAAACGAACACGCTATTCTTCGATGTTAAGTGCCTCAGACTTTTGGAGACTTCGCTTTCACATAATGAGGTCGAGGTATCTGAACAAAAGTATGATTCGCGGCAGACCGTAGGGAATGGTCTTCATTCACAATAGCAATCAAGTGTAAACTAGTTGTTAAAATTTGTTAGGTAGCTAAATGCTCTGTAATTCTGATAACTATTCTAAAAAAATTGTTCATATAGATTTTAATTAATATTATTGTATAAATTATTCGGTCGTTCCATTAGTTATTTTCAAGACCGAATTTCAGTGAATCGATTTTAAATGCATTGATTCTCTCCCTCCCGAGTTGGCCCTCCGCCCCCACGCCTGTCTAGCACTTTTTGTTTATTTCACATTACACTTTTATATGAACCTTCAACTAATATTCAACCAACTCATTTGAACTTTAAAATACACATTAAATGCATCAGTTTGATTTTGTAACTTTTATGATACGGAATGTTTAAAATTTATTAGAATCTTTAAAATATCACTTCATTTTTGTATATAGGGATCAATAAATAATAATTTTACACTAATGTAAATACAACAGGTATGTATAATATTTTATGTAAATCATTAACTTAGTGCAATTTAATTGTACTACGTTTTCACTATCACCTAGGAACGTGTTTAGGCACATCGTAAAGCATTAAATTTCATTTTTATATTTTCATATTATGATTATGGGCGTGATGACAAAATATTTTATTTTAGCATCCCTGATAATAAAAACAGGTTTCACCTAAGTTATTTTTTTCCGTGCCGGGTCATGTTTATAGATGACTGGAATGATTATTAAGATAACTATGCACTCGAATTCGTATTTTTAAATAAACGCAATGTAAGATTCGATACATTGCGGGCTCACCAGCTCGACATGATGACCATATCGGTTTTCGCACATCCTGCATGGACGAGCACTACCGGGAGCTTGCTGCGCTTGTTATCATTCCATTTTAACTACATTATTACTAATTAGCGATGCTATACAAATTCCAGTTACCTATGCCCTTATCATAATATTTATTAGTCGAAAATACACGGGCACTTGTTAACGAAATAAGTTTTAGTTCAACATTATTACCGTACGGTTTGTTCGCCCACGAAACAAACAATTCTCAAAGCTATTTCCAAATAACATTGTGGCTCGCTTCGTTTTAGTTTAGAAAATGATAATCTACAACTTATAATAAAATAATATTGACGTAACTACGAGTACTCGATTGCGGCTAAGGTCTTCTGAACATATCACTACATTTCTTTGTTATTTCTTCCGAAACGATCAATTCTGTAATGTAAAATAAGTCTGTTATATAGCTATACTTCTACGATAATTAGTAAATTATTATTACAGAGACACGTAATGTTTCAGCGTCTTGAGGGAACATGCATTTTTTTCTTTCTTTTCCCTACTAATGCTGATAGCCTTGAGAGGCTATTTCAGCTTCTCCTTGACGTGTAGAGGAGCTCTCGGGGCTTAAACCGGAGTACTGCTAGGGCGACCCTAGCAAAAGTAGTGCTTCGCAGAATCTACCACCGGATCGGAAACGCGACCCACTGAGAAGATCCGGCGAGAAACTCAGTGTCTATGGGTCAATTTACTCGATGACGGACGACGACCGGAAGGAGGGTGACCGGAGTAGTGTCGGTGCGGCGTGTGCGTGTACTGGCTACTCACGTGCTAGCGGGGCGGCGGCGCGTAGGCGGGCCCGCCGTGCGCGGTCCACTGGCGCTCGAACTCGTGCGGCAGTATCTCGGCGCCGCGCTTGCGGGTGAGGCCGGTCTCGTCGAGGCTGAGCTCGCACATCTGCATGTCGTCGGCGCCGGCGCGCAGCAGCACGGGCGTCTTGTCGGGGTGCAGCTCCATCTGCCGCGCCACGTACTGCCCGTCGAAGTGCGCGTACCACCAGCCGCGCGTGCCGCCGTCGCCCCCCGCCCCTCCGCGGACGAACGGTATGCGGAAGTAGCGGTGGCGGGCGCCTAGGATATCGCCCTTCTGCAGTACGCGAGGACTCTTCGCTGCAAACATGCAAAAAAAAATCACATAAATCGTGCAGACACCCCCACGGGGGGAGATCACACCGTGTGTCTACCGCCCGTCGCTGTGAACAGAGCACGTTTACTAGAGAAGGGCACTAGCAGCTGAGTGGTTATGTCGGTGCTGTGTGCGTGCAGTTACCGGCGTCCATGACGGACTGCGGCGCCCGCTCCTGCTCGTGCAGCGTGGACTTGCGCGCGTTCTTCGCCTTCCACGCGTGGTACACCTTCAGCCGGCGGTGGAACTCGTGTCTGCAGGCCTGCGCGGGGAGACAACGCGGTTAGACGGCGGCTAACGTCACGTTGCACGTTAGCGAACACTCGTTACAAATACGCATCCATTTCGAATTTACTGCGGCTGGGCGTACGTACACGCACG